AATTTTATACAACCAAGGGAGCCCTGGAAGTTGTAGAATATCGGGATTTCAAGCACTTTAATGAAAACAATTTTCTTTTTGAATTGGAATCATTATCAAGCCTAAATTTAGACCATTTAGATCCCAACATTTCTTGGTTAACTTGGAAAAATAAATTTCTTCATATTGTCAATAAACATGCACCCTTAAAAAACGTAGAGTGTCTAAGAAACGTGTACCTTGGTTAACCCGTGAGTTAAAATATTATAAACGCCAAAAAGCATATCTTAAACGAAAGGCAACTTTATCTAACTTAGACGGCGACTGGGCAGCCTATAAATCATTGAAGAATCATTATAATAGATTGATTAAAAGTACAATGCGTCAACACTATCAAGAAAAGATACATAATAATTCAGGTGATATTAAGAAAACATGGAAAATAATCAATGAGGTGATTAACAAGTCAAAAAAAGCCAATAAAGTATTACAGCTTAAAAATGAAAATAACGAAATTATTGATCAAGCGGATATCCCAAATCAGCTTAACAAATATTTCATTGAATTAGGGGATAATTTATCTAATGATATACCCTTATCAACGTCAACTCCCGACAGATATTTTACCAATTTTCAATGTCCAACTGACACTTTATCGAACTTTAAAGAGGTATCAGAGACTGTAATATTGAGATTGCTTTCTAACTTAACTATATCCAAGGCATCCGGTCTGGATCAAATTTCGGCTAAAGTTTTAAAAATTGCAGCACCATCTATTGCTCCATCACTTACTTTAATTTTTAATCAATCAATCATCCGCACTGGCATATTTCCATCTGACTGGAAAGTTGCGAGGGTTACACCAATTTATAAATCTGGGGAAAAATTCTGCATGTCCAATTATAGACCTATATCCGTTATTTCAATTGTTGCAAGAATCATGGAAAAGCTAATACACAACCAGATCTATGAATATTTGATTAAGGAAAATCTATTAGCAAATTCCCAACACGGCTTTAGGCCGAACCATTCAACTCTAACTGCGTTGCTCGATATCACAAATAGATGGTATCAGAATATGGACATTGGCCAACTTAATGGTGTGATATTTCTTGATTTAAAAAAAGCATTCGATCCTGTTAATCACGACATCCTTCTTAGTAAGTTGGCAATTTATGGCATAAGGGGGTCGGCATTACGCTGGCTCAACTCCTATTTAACAGGTCGAATACAATATTGCCAAGTGAATGCCCATTTATCTGATCCTCTATGTGTGACAACGGGTATACCACAAGGTTCGGCTCTTGGTCCACTCTTGTTCCTAATTTACATAAATGACCTACCTAATTGTCTGGAACACACTAAAGTCAATATGTTTGCCGACGATACCCAAATTGAAACAGCAGGTTATGATGTTAATACAATTGCTGAGGAACTTAATCAAGATCTAGAAAACGTTTCAGTTTGGTTGTCGGCAAATAAACTAACTTTAAACAAAACGAAGACAGAATACATGATAATAGGTAGTAATAGAAGAGTCAATCATATTAACATAACGCCTAATATATTCATAAAAGACAGAGAAATTAATAGAGTCAAAACGACCAAATCACTCGGCTTAATGATTGACGAAACACTCTCACGGAATGCTCAAGTTGATCAAATTACAAAAAAGGTTAATTCAGGTCTCAGTATCCTTAAAAGATTGAGAGACATTCTAGATTACCAAACACTGATCAAAATTTATTTATCAATAATTCAACCACATTTCGACTATTGCTCACAGATTTGGGGTTGTCTGGGTAAAGTACTATCTGATAAACTCCAGAAGCTTCCAAATAGAGCATTTCGAATAATAACTCGTGAAAACTATGATACACGTACAATCGATGTTTTGAACAAGGTCGGTTTTCCAAATCTCGTGACTAGAAGAAAACATCATTTAGCCGTCCTAATGTTCAAAGCCAAACATAACATGTTACCAAATTGCTTAACGGAACTTCTCATCACCTCAAATGAAATACATAATTACAATACAAGACAGAGCGAATTCAATTTTGCATTACCTAAACCTAAAACTAATTTTATGAAAAAGTCTTTCGCCTATCGAGGAGCTGAGACTTGGAATAATCTGTCTGCTGACAAAAAAGCTAAAACAAGTATCTCTACATTTAAAAATAGTCTAACTGTAAGTGTGTAATTTGTGTGTAATTTAGTTATTATTATTAGATACTGTAGTATATGTGTAATTAGTATAGCTATATACGGCCTATTGGAAGATCACCCGTCCTTGTAAATATCTTGGTGAAATAGTACCGTTTTTAATAAAGTCAATAATAATAAAGTCAATAAAGTGATAGACTTCGATCGTTACAGAAGAAATTAACCAAAGAGCCTGAATTGTTACAAGAGTATGAGAACATTATTAACGAACAGAAACGAAATGGTATCGTGGAAGAGGTTCCGATTGAAAATCGCATGGAGAACAACAAGGACAAAGACAACGGTGGACTGGTGGAGTGCATTACATGCCACATCATGGTGTTATCCGAACTGATAGAAAAACAACGAAACTACAAGTCGTTTATGATGGATCTGCGAAACCCAACGAAAACAAACTTTCACTAAATGATTCCCTGCAGACAGGACCAAATTTCATCCCTCACCTTTTTGACGTACTCTTGAAATTTCGATGGAACCCTGTCGCGTTAACAGCAGATATAGAGAAAGCTTTTCTCATGATTTCCATAGATCCGTCGAACAGAGATATGCTACGATTCCTTTGGTTAAAAGATCCGGGGGACTTAAGTACAGAGATTCTAGAGATGCGCTTTTGTCGACTTGTTTTCGGGTTACGACCACCCCCAGCGATACTCGGAGCAACAATCACATACCATCTTGACAAATTCAAAGAGAAACATCCAGAAACAAGCGAACTGGTCGACATGATAAAGCATTCATTGTGTGTTGATGATTTTGTATCTGGAGAAGACTGCGAAGAGAAAGCGTTAAAAATGTATACAGAAGCGAAGAGTATCATGAGTCAAGGAGGTTTCAATCTCAGAAAATGGAACTCGAACTCCAAAACCCTTCTAAAGAAGATAAATGAGGTTGAATCTGATGCATCGAAGCCCACTGATGTAAGCATTGAGAACAATGTCGTGGAAGAAGACCAATCCTATGTAAAAACATCTCTGGATCCGAGAACCCCCGAAGATGAATCCCATGTTAAGGTCCTAGGAACTCGTTGGAACACCGAAACGGACGAACTATACTTTAATTTTGATGATCTATTGCAGTATGCCAACACTCTACCAGTAACAAAGAGATCACTATTAAAAATCACCGCGAAGGTATACGACCCCTTGGGACTTTTGAGTCCGTTTACAATCACGATGAAGGTCCTTTTTCAAGATTTATGCGCTGAAAAGCTCGATTGGGACGATACATTGACCGGAGAAGCGAAAGATAAGTGGGTTCTATTTCTTAACCATTTGACATGTTTAAATCAAATTCGAGTTCCGAGATGTAATTTCAACGGACATATGCAACCATTAAAGATACAACTACACGGATTTAGTGACGCTTCTAAAAGAGCTTATGGAGCGGTGGTGTATATGAAATCTGTTTATGAAGATGGACATCACGTTCGGCTCATTTCATCCAAAACGTTCGGCTCATTTCATCCAAAACGAAAGTGGCACCAATCAAGCAACAAATCATTCCCAGATTGGAACTTTTAGGAGCGACAATCCTAGTACGACTTGTCGACACCGTTAAAAATGCCTTACCACTTGCGAAAGAAATCGAAATCGTGTATTGGACTGATTCGTTGACGACCTTGTTTTGGATCAAAAGCAATAAAGTGTGGAAACAGTACGTTCGACACCGAGTGGAAGAAATCCTTAAGTTAACATCGAAAGAAGAGTGGAGATTTTGTCCTGGTAAACTCAACCCCGCTGACATACCATCTCGCGGTTTAAAGGGACAAGAATTAGTCGAAAGTAAGGTCTGGTGGAACGGTCCAGAATTCTTATACAACCCCGAGACAGAATGGCCAACATCTCCAGAAGGAGTCACAATGCCCGATAAAGACGCATGCACCGAAATGGCGAAGGAACCGCTTAATATCAGTCATTCACTCGTGAACGCAAATGTAGATTGTGCAACAGCTGACCTCAATCAAATCATCGATTGTTGTTGTTACAATAGCTTTGGAAAATTAGTGCGAATAACGGCGTATGTTCTACGATTTGTCTGAAACTCAGTTGAAAAGAAAAACGAAAAAAGAGCGAACGATTTGACTTCCAGTGAACTTGATGAAGCAGAGAACTGTTTGATTAAGAATATCCAAGCAAAGTCCTTTAGTAAAGAAATCCAGTTCCTAAAAGAGAACATGAAAACAACTCCCCCAGTTTACGTGACGCAATTTGGATTATATTTAGACAGCGATGGAATTCTTAGATGCAAAGGAC